TTCAGGATGCAGGAGACAGCAGAGGCATGGAGAGGTTACATGACCTTGTCCCTAGTATGTTTGCAGCAGCTCCTGGAGCCATGGGTTGCCAGGCTGGGGAGAATGTCTTCTCACATTTCTGTAACTGTCTCTGCAGCAGAGAGAATCTGTTTATGGTGGAACAGGTCCAGCTGGGGCCTGCATTAATCCACAGTGTGCCTGAGTCTTTCCAGATAGGTCCCAGTCTTCCTGCATTCCCATTTTCTCTGTGTTCCTGCAACCGTCCTTCCCTTTCTCCTTCTGCCAGCCCAATCTGCCAGGGGAAAAAGTGGCTGTTTCTCATGGAAACCTTGCAACCAACTAAATCCCACTCTCCCTTCTGTAGTCATGCTTCCTTGGCTCTTCTAGAGATTGAGATGGTTGCAGCAAGCAGTGGGCTTGTTTCTCATTTGCAGTAAGTGCTACAGGTTGGGGCAGCTCTTCCTGGATGCTTGTGTTCAAGGGATGAGCAATGATGCCATATTACCCGGGTGTCTCTCAAGGAAATTTAAACTGGATGGGAGAAGAAATAAAGACAGTGAATGTAAGGAATTCCATGAGAATGAAAAATATACTGCCAAGAAGTCTTGGTTTGTAGGAAGTTGAGGTCAAAGTGCAAGACATTTGTATATACGGGTCCAGTACTTACCTGGCAGGGCAGATACCATGATCATAAATATAGGGGTTAAAAGGGGAAGCAACTCTCGACAATCAGATCCAGATGGCTCTGGGGAGTGGCTGCCTGAAGTGGAGCAAAGGATTAACCTGACACATGAGAACACCTCCGATGGTTTCTGCAGGTAAGGACATGGGCGAGCAATTAAGACACGCATGGCCCACATCAAGGTGCCTGGATTCTACACCTGACTCTGGTTCCAGCTTCCTGCTAATACATCCCTTGGAGGCAGCAAATGATGACTCAAGTACCCGGATCCCTGCCACTTACATTTAAGATGACCTGAGTTGAATTCCTGGTTCCTAACTTTGACCTGACCCAGTGCTAGTCTTTGTAAGCATTTGAGGAGTGAACCAGGAGTTAGGAATACTTCTGTCTCTCTCTAGTTCTCTCTCTCCTCCCCTCTTTTCCTCCCTCTCTTCCTGCCAAGTTAATTATTTTTAAGCTTTTAAAAGATTTATCTATTTGAAAGGTACAGCTAGAGAGAGAGAGAGAACTTGCATCTACTTATTCACTCCCCAAATGATTAATATAGCTGTGGCTTGGCCAGGCCAAAGCCAAAAGCCAGTAATTCCATTAAAAGACCCAAACCCTTATTAGAGTGCCTGGTTCAAGTCTTGGCTACTCTGCTTCCTATCCAGCTTCCTGCTGGTGCACCTGAGGAGCAGCAGATGAGGATTCAAACACTGTGTTCCTGCTGTCCATGTGGGAGGCCTGGATGGAATTCTGGGTGTCTGGCTTTAATATGGTCCAGCCCCTGCTGTTGCAGATATTTGGAGCGTGAACCAGTAGATGGAATTTGTTTTGGTCTCTTCTCTCCCTCTCTCTTTTTGTCACTCTGCCTTTCAAATAAATCTTTTTAGAAATTCATTTATCTTTACTACTCTGTAACAGATTACAGAGATGGTATGTTAGCTTATTTTCGTGCAAGATTTTAAAACCCATGGACTTGAAGAGTTTTCGAAAAGTTCATGAAAAACACAAATTAAAGAAAAAGTCATGCATAGATTTCATTTTTTTTTGCATCTTACACAAAAGGAGGACTCTGAGATATCCCCCTAATTTGAAAGAAAGATTTACAGAGATGAGAGAAAGAGAGAGAGAGAGAGAGAGAGAGAGAGAGAGAGAGAGAGAGAGAGAAACCTTTCATCTACTGGATTATTTCCCAAATGGTCACAACAACTAGAGCTGGGCTAACCTGAAGCCAGGAGCTCCTTTGGATCTTCTGTGTGGGTGCAGGGTCTCAAGAACTTGGGCCACAGTCCATTGCTTTCCCAGGCCATTAGCAGATAGCTAGATGGGATGTGGAGCAGACGGGATGTGAACCAGCACCTGTACAGGATGCTGGCACTTGTAGATGGAGGATTAGTCTGTTGAACCACCATGCCAGCCCTCGAGGTGCCTTTCTATAATGGGTATATACACAGTATACGCTCATATGGCACTAAGGAGCTAGCTCACATGATCATGGAGGCTGAGAAGCTCCCAAGTCTTTGATGAGCAAGTTGGAGATCCAGGAGAGCCAGTGGTGCAGCTCCAATCCAGACCCCAACTCCCGAGAACCTAGGGAATGGGTGGCATGAGGTCCAGTCTGAAAGCTGCAGGCTGGTGCTCCAAGGAGAGTCAGTGCTTCATTTTGGGACTGAGGCAAGAAAGAAGCAATCTGAGAGGCCACCAGGCAGGATGAGTTTCCTCTGCTTGGGGCAAGACTGACCTTTGTGCTCAGTTCAGGCCTCGTCATGGCTTTGCAGAGGACAACCTTCTACACTTAGCCTAGCAGTTGACACATAGATGCCATCCAGAAACATCCAAAAATGTTGGAGCGCATGTATAGTCTTTTCATACTATACCATACATATCTTGTGGCCCTTATGGTGACTGAATGCAGGATTTCAAAACTTCATATATCCAAACAAGCTCATCTTTGGGTGTTGTTTTCCTCATCCTGCTCGACCTTTCCAGATCATGGGATCAGGTAGACTCTCTTGCCGTGATTGTCCTCCTTAGTTTTGATGCTGCAGCATCCCCGCTTTCTCTTTCCTCTGTGATGGCTGCTTTCTGGACTCCATGGCAGGCTTCTCTTCCTCTTCTGCTTTTCTTTGTGGTTTGGATATTTCTCAATGGCAGGTTCTCTGCCTCCCTCACTTTTACTCAACACTCATTCTGGGTGTTTGAATGGAATCTACATAGATTCCACAGCCATGTGAGCTGGCTCCTTAGTGCCATGTGTGTGCATACTGTGTACGTACCCATTATAGAAGGGCACCTCGAGAGCTGGCATGTTGGCTGAAGACTCTGGCCAGCACCTCTCTAACATGCAGACCACCCGCATGACTGCAAAGCTTAACTTAACACCCACACCGTTCCTATCACATCCCTCTTTTCACCTGCTTTCCTGTTCTTGGGGATCACATTTTTACTCAGCACATGTTTATTTAGTGCCTCTGGGGCCTGAGTACTGACTTCCTAGGCCAGAAATTTTCATGAACACTGATTCTCTATTATTTTCTCTCTTCTAAAAATTCTAGCTCTGCTGAATCTACCTCTGTCAGAGTTTTTTGGGTGGGTGGTTGTTTGTTTTGTTTTTAAGACTAATTTTATATTTGTAGAGTGACAGAAAGAAGGGCAGGGACAGAAAGAGATCTTCCATCTGCTGGTTCACTCCTAAATGGTCTTAATGGTGGAGGATGGGAAGGTTGAAGCTAGGAGCCAGGAGTTCCACCAGGGCCTCCCACCTGGGTGGCAGGGGCCCAAGCACTTAGGCATCGTCATGGCCTTTCCAGGTGTGTTTGCAGTAACTTCGACTGACAGCAGAGCAGCCCAGAGGACTGAAACCAGTGCTCTGATACCAGATGAGGTTGGTGTTGCAGGTGGAGGTGTAATGTGCTGCACCACAGCACCAGTTCCTGTAACATTTTGTGACCACCTCTCTGTCTCTCTGTTCCTATGGCTTCCTGGATTACTGCAAGTTTGTCTCCCTGGTTCCTGCTTTGCTTGCTGATCACTCATCCCTATTAATCTACCAAAACCTTTGGTATAGTGTTGTTGTTGCCTTTAGTCTCCAGGCACCTAAACACTCACCTGCCTTTGTATGTCATGGCCTCTGCTTATCTTTCCAACCTTATCTCTCATGGTTTGCTCCCTCCATTCCCAACCCAATCTGCCCTGTGCTCCAGCCAGGGTGAACTGTTTGCTATCCCAGACATACCCTCAGTTTGGAATTGCTTTCCCCCTCCCTGCCTCTGGTCCTGGCACATCTGTTGTAGTGTAGATCAGCACTTTAGAGTTCTCTTTTCTCAAGAAGCCCTTTGTCTTCCAAGATCAGTCAGGCATTCGGACCTAAGAGACTTGGGTTCCTATACCAGCCCTGCCACCTGCCAACTTTGGAATCTGGGCAGCTGCTTCTGGGCTTTTTCTGCATCTCAGGAGTGTGGCTGCAAGCTCACCACACAGGCTGTGTTGAGACCTATGGAATAAAAGCGCTGAAATGACTCTATAGACCATACGCACTATAAGCAGCATGGGTGATCAGCAAGAGCAGGCTTTGGGAAGACTTGTGTGGGATCAGGGCACTGGTCCAAAGACCAGTCCTGGTCACACCTGTGCCATCCTTGGCCTTGCGCCAGGCTGTGTAGATGGGGGCTTCATGAGAAAGCCTTCCAAAAAAGAGAATCTTTCTCGTGTGTGCCTCTGGTGTTGGGATTGCCTGGACTGCACCTGTCAGGGAGCAGAGCTGCTGCCCAGTTTCAGGAGGGAGGTGGGAAAGCAGCAGCCCCAGGAGAGGACAGCCCAGTAGGGCTGGAGGAGGGGCCCTGTGGGGCTGGCCAGGTTGATGCCAGGACTCTGCTGGGCCTGAGGTTTAAGCTGGTTACTTCGAGTTGAGTGTTTAAAGCAGTTTTCTTGTGGTGCCAACTGTTCTTGGATGATTTTCCCTAAATGTTTTATATTTTGTACTTGTGCCCAGAGGCAATTCTACCCGGTGGGGGCTCTTCTGTCAATCTGTCACCATGAATGATTGGAAGAAGTGGGGAGGAGAGGGAGGGCACTGAGCAGTAGGAAGAAGAGCCCCTGTCCTCCAGGGAGCGGGCACAGTCAGTGCCAAGCACCCATTGGTCAGTTCCCACTGGACTGAGAACCCTTAACCTCTTTGGCTGGATGGGGGTGCTTGAGAAACAAAGCTGCAGGTGGTCCTGGGGGCTCTTTGGATTGAGTGTGATACATTCTCTCTTTCTCTCTCTCTTTCTCTTTCTCTTTCTCTCTCCTCCCTTCCCCACAGCCCTCCCCCGCCCCCCCCTCACCCAACAAACAGCCAATGCAGCTCCTGGACTGACTGGACAACTGCTACCAAAGGCTGGATGTGACTTCCAGAAGGTATGGGTATCTGATTTGCTCAGTGCATAGAAACATGCCAGCACACCATCCGGCACATAGCAAATGTTTGTCATATAAATGACTACAGAAGGACCAGACTACAGAGTCAAGATTTTCCTGGGTGAGGGGAAGGAAATGCCCAGTGAGATATAGGGCACAAGGTTGCCCTGAGTGTGAGAAGCAGCCATCCTCTGAGTCAGACAGATTCAGGTGAGATTCTCAACCACTCCATGTACAGCCTCAGTGTCTTCATCTATGAAATGGGATGAAGGTCTCCATCTGATGGACTTGTATTGCTAATTACATGTGTGAGAATTCAGAAGTGGAGAGTGAGGCAAGGCAGACAAGAAGCTCCGATGCAGGACTGGAAGGATGAAGGCAACTCAGCCTGTGGGCTGGTGGCAGGGAACCTCTGTGTGGGACTCCTGGATGGCCAAGGTCTCTGCAGGCTGACTTCACAGGCAATAGCTCCACCAGGACTGTTACCCCACAGTTCAGCTCTACCTCACTGCCTAAGAGCCTTTGTGCCTTTGTGACCCAAAGAATAGGCTTTTTGATGAAGTGATAGAGAAAAAGGAGGATTATTTGGGAGGCATGAGGGTGATTCCCCAGGAGGCTTGAACAGGTGCCCAGACCCAGGAAGGAACAGAAAGCAAGTCACCAAGGACCTGCTCAATCCTGCACATGCCTGGGAACTGAAGAATCAAAGCCTCATAGCTCACCACACAAAGGGTTTTTTAAACTGGTACTGTTTCCTCTAATTTCCACAGGAGCTCAGATTTTCCTCAAAAAGATATGTTCACATTCTGCAGGTAATAAAACCACCCATAAAAGGAGAAGGAAGAGTACAAGGTGCCTTTGTCGATGCCTGTAGGCTGATGGGACAAAGTTAAATGACCCAACTGACCATTCAGGAGCTTTGGCCACTGGGAGAGTGCCCTTTCCAAGACTGGCTTAAAAGGGTGTCAACAGTAGGACTGGGAAGCTGGGGACAAGTTCACTTCCAATTCTGCTAGACTCAGTGGTAGCCGCAACAGGTCACTGTGGGATAGATGTTTGGATCCCAGATGATACTGTGACCAGATGCCATTAGTGTTATCACCAGGAGCACCTGTCCCCTGCCTAAGATGGCCTCGTGTCACCTGCCAGCAGGACAGCAGGCAGGCAGGCATCCCCACTGTTGAGTCCGAGCTCAGGGATGCAGTCTGCATTCTGCCTCTTCTTGGCTGAACAGCCTTAGCAGGCTCAGCCTCTGGAATGCTCTTTGCAGATTGTTGAGCCTGGGAGAGAATTTGTGCCAGAAAGTGAGGCTGAACAAGTGGAAAGGATGACACTAGGAAGGGGCTTTTCTGATCATAAAGGAAGATGAGTGGTCAGGGGACATCCCAGAGTGCGTGGCACATTGTAGAAGACAGAGAATAGAGCTGAGGTGAGAGATATCCTCAATGGGACCAGCTTCCCAATCCATGGGATTTCTCAGTGCAAAAGGAAGACGTGGGGGCCAGTGTTGTGAGACAATGGTTAAAGCTACCCCCTGTGATGCCAGCATCCCATATTAGCACTGTTTTGTGTCCTGATTACTCTACTTCCAATCTAGCTCCCTGCCAATGGCCTGGGAATAGCAGCAGAAAATGGTCCAAGTGCTTGGACCCTCTGCATTCATCCATCCATGTGAGAAACCTTGGAAAAGCTCCTAGCTCCTGGCTTCAGTCTGGCTCAGTGTTGGCTCTTGTGGCCATGTAGGGGAGTGAACTAGTAGATGGAAGATCTCCTTCTTTCTCTGTCCCCTGCTGCCTCTGCAACTCAGATTTTTCAAAGTAAAAAAAGTATTTTTTTTAAATCAAAACAAAACAAAAAATGAAAAGGCTGAGCCCCTGTGCAAAATATATTGATATGTTCACCCAGTGACAGTAAGTCATTGAGCAAAGCACAAGGTCCTTAAGCGGGGGACCTTCTATGACCACACAGGTCATAACCCTGATCTTGGGACAGAGGGTGGGAGAGGCTGACCTTTGATCTTGTAGGCTTGCAATTGCTTGAAGATCCTTAGTTTGTGTGAGAACCAGAGGAAGCTAGAAAACTCCCTCCTTCTAGTCCCATTTCCTGGACAGGGCCTGGCCCTACTATGGTGGGAACCAAAGGCTGTGGGTGTCAGCACAGGAACTACCGGTGCACCCAGCAGCTGCATGGGGAACCCTTCCCACCTGTGCCCTGCCAGCACCATTCCTTCCCCACCCCAGAGCCAGCACAAGGTAATAGTTTTCGACACATTTCATTGAAATATAATAAAATATTTGCATGGCGTTATTAGATAAATAAGGGCTGACTTGAGGCAGTGCTTATTGGGAAATGTGATATGAAAATTCATTTAATATGAAAGAACGTGGAAGCTTAAGTTTATGGTAATGGATTGATTGCAGATAGTATCTAATAACTCCATACAAATACATTTCAATCACAATATCCGTCGGCTTGGTCCCCGGCTCCAGAGGCGTCAGGGGGTGATTGTGTGCCCGACCTCTCTTCCAGGCCAGATTAGAATTAATTAATTGCGAATATGGTGACATTACTTTTGTAATTAAGAAGCCCCACAATTTCCAGTGGCGGTGAGAATGAGAAGTATTTATTATTGTCTCAGAAGGGGCGGGGGAGGAGGAGAAGCAAGAGAGGCAGAGCAGAGGGAGAAAGCTGACAGGGAGGCAAGGGTTTTTCACCATCTGCAGAGGCTGGGACCCCTGAGTGGAGGCGGGGACCCTGGCTGGGCTGAGAGCAGAGCGTCTGGCACTTGCACAGAAGGTCAAGGGCGAGCTCTCTTTCTCAGACTTGCTGCTCCCAGGAAGCTGGGTTCAGGAGCTAGCTGAGTGAGATGGGGCGGGGGTGGGGAGTGGAGGGGCAGGCATGAAGTTGTGGTTGTGAACAGGGGCAGCAGTAGAAGAGACCAAAGGTGGCCATGGTTGATGAGCCAGTGACACGCCCCTTCTTCTCTTGATAAACTGTGAAATCCATTTGTCCTTGGCCAGGGTGAACTCAGCCAGGCGATTGCTGTCACTTCTGGGCGTCTGCATGGGGGCTGGAGGAGGAGGAGAGGCGCCTGTCTGAGGCCCAGATGCTGGCCTGTCTCCCAACACACGACCCCAGGAGTTTGCTTGTCTTTCTGCCTTTTCCCTTTCCTGGGGAGAAAATGGAAATAATTTCTTTTGAAACGTGACATTTCCTAATCCGGCGCCCGGCCTGGCTGACAGCAGGATTAGTGCATGGGCTGCCGAGCCTGGCTGGCCATATGCGGCTGTTCCTGTGAGGGTTGTGCTGGCCAGCGCCAGCCCCTTCCCCTGGCTCTGCTCCCACCCCCAGCCTGATCTCAGCTGCACATAAGGAACTGGTGAGCCGCAAGTCAGCTGGGGCCCCTTCCTGTCTTGGGAGTAGGGGGTGACTGAGGGTGGGTGGGTTCTTTCATTCATCAGAAGCTGTTGGAGTTGTTTAGTGGAGAGTGAAGAAGCGGAGATTGGTCTAGGACTTGGCTGTGTAGGACCAGCTACATGACCTAAGCTTTCTTCCCCCCGCCCCTCTGGGTTTTTGTCTTCTTACTTTCCAAATGCAAGTGCTGCATTAGACTGCTATTACCCTTGTGGCTTGCCGTTCCTTGACGTTCTAGTCTTTCTCAAAGGGATGTGGGATGAGCAGGTAGGTAACTGGATAACCCTGCTAAGCCGGAAGTCTGGCAAGGCCCCTTGTGTCATCTGGTCTGCTTACTTGAACATCAAAACACCTGCATTCCTGGGATGTACCTGCTTCATTGGGACCTAGTGAGGATACTATGAAAATACAAACATTAAGCTCCATGTGGAATTTGTGGAGTGCCATGTAATTCCTAGAGGCCTTCAGGCCTGGACAGGCACCACTCCCAACCTCATAAAAGAGGCTAATAACTTGGTGGCCGGGCATTTGTTCTCTTTTACTGAGGACCACAGCTGGTGGTGCTGCCCAGGGGTTCTCTCTCCAATCCCCAACACCTCTACCCTTCAAGCCAGCTTCTGGTCCACTGCCCTTTGTGTGGGGGCAACTCACACTCATGCCTGCATGTGCATTAACTTTCTCACCCTTTGAATTCACATTGTTATCACTTTTGCACCCATGCGTGTCTGCACTTAGAATGTTTGTCTTTGTGTGAGGGAAGAACTTGAGTAAGATTAAAACATCCTTGCCATATCAAAAGCACTTTTGTTCAACCCAGGGACAGTCAGCTGTTGTCACTGTGGGTAGCACCTTCTGTCTCTGCCTCACCTCCTCTGCCCCCGTCTCTAAAGATGCCCAGGGCTAGGGGCTTGGCCAATGGGGTCTCTCTATCTGTGTGCCTGGCAGACAGCATTTTTCTCTTTCTTGCATCATGTGCCAAAGCCTGTTGACATGCCCAATGCCAAAACCTTGTTGGTCGTGCTTCCTTCCTTTTTACAGATGGAGAAACTGAGGATCAGAGAGATTAAGTAGCTCAGGTGAGAAACTTAAGCAAAGTTGAATACAGGAGTGCCCACCTCCCAGCCCCTGCTCTGCCAGGCTGCTTCTCCCATATCAAAAGTCAACACAGGTGCCACTCTTCTCAACTCCATGTGTACCTCCTGCCAGGTCTAGGAATGTTGCAGTTAGACTACTCATCCAGGGCCACCCTGGCTTGGGTATCATTTTCAGTTTTCTTTTTCTTTCTTTTTCAGTATAAAGCTTGGGATGCTTCTTGTGGGGAGTGGTGTGCTGTGCCTTCAGCCCCACAATCAAGAGGGCCGTAAGCTCCAAGACTGGAACTTCTGAAGGTGTCTCGAACTGTGGAAAGGCCCGTGCTATGTCTACAGTTCAAAGTGAGAGCTGACAGTCCAAGCTGGACACTCAACCCAGAGCACCTGACTAGAGCTCTAAATGGCTCTGCAGGGCTCTGCAGAGTCTTATCAGGCATGTAACTGGACATCTCTTTTCTGACCTTCAAGGTCAAGAGAAGATTGTGAAGGAGCCCT